TTACTGGTGGTTAGTAGCGAAGAAGGGAGTACAATCCCTATATGGGGGTTTCCGGTTTAGGGTTTAGGGTTTAGGGTTTGGCGGTCCCTATAATAAGGACTCTAGTATTTTGGGGTCTATATGGGGGTCCCCTTATGTTGGGAAATTACCATATATCCCTCTACAATACATTGGGTTTAGGGTTTAGGTAGTTTCCCTAAATAGGGGGACCCCAATATAGACCCCGAAATACTACAGTCCTTATTATGGGGACCCCCCAAAAAGTGTGCCCCTGATTTTGGGAAGCCCCCCCATATGTCCCTCTAAAAACATTGCCTTCTTCCTTACGAATCGCCAGTAAGTTTCATGACCTAAGCCCTGAACCCCAAACTCTAAACCCTAACCTAAGGTCCTTGACCGCATAGCCTTCAACTTACTTCTCGGGCCTCTAGAGGAGCGAGAATGGTTCAGGTTTTTGAGTTGAGGTTGTGGTGTTTAATATAGGGGCCTGAACAATTACCAATATTATGATTCGACATTCTTTATATACTTATGGTCTATGGTACCTCATATGGACCTCAAAATGATATTGGCAATTATTTAGGTCCCTGTAGTAGGGTTTAGCATAACACGTCCTTCTCCTTGGTCGGAACGGGGATGGACTTCTGGGGACTATGGTAGGCAGATTTGGATGGTTGTCATTTCATTCCGTCCTCCCTTCCTGAGCGCCAGGAAGTTTCACTGGCTTATGTTTGCGACATCGGCCTTTGGTTTCTCTGCAGCCAGCGGTACTGCCATGATGCCTGACTTGTACTGGACGTACTGGAAGTGAGTTTATAGTCATCACTGTGCAGCATGGTTTGAACAGTTTCGAACATGCTCAATTCGCGAATTCGTGCGCAGGCGTCCTGCTGGGGGCTCCTCAGCCAACAACTTTGTGATGGTCATATAGCACTATATTGTGCCTTATAGTCACTGTTTATTACTGGGTGGGGTGTGCACCTAACATGTAGCTCGCATGCAGGACATTATCAAGGCGCAGGAAGAGGGCCAGAAACGATCCTCTGCTCTTGGCAAAGGCCCGGGTGCATGGTTCGGCCCGTGTGGCTGTGGGCTTCGTGCATCCGCCGCAATGCTTGTTCTGAATAGGTTGCCCAGAGGGTTCATGTACCGAATAATTAGGGACTTGGGATTTGGGTAATAGTAATTACAGTACAGGTTTTGGATAAGTATATGATTATTGGGTACTTGGACACTTAGGGTTGTACTTCGGCTATGATTTCAGTTCTATATGTGATTGTCATACTCACTGGTGCTAATGTGAGCTCACTCCCGTATAATGCCAGTCCCCTTGAAACACCAGCAAACAGAAACATGTAGGGTGGGGGCCGTACAGTTCATGCCCTGTCGCTGAAATTTCTCCCAGCCACCCCCTTCCCCCAGACCTCCCAGTCCAAGGTTCCCCCTTAACGAAGCTTCATGACTCGTAGCGTGTAGAGGGGTGCTTAGGTCATTCATCGCCCCAACCGTCCGTACCTGACTCCAAGCCCTGAGTCCAAAACCCTGCACCTTCCTACCTGACTTAGGAGCGGCAGAGGGCGGTGGTTAGGTAAACCATAAAAAACATCCTTCTGCAACCAGGCGGTCCAGGCACTGAGAAGAGGCGCAAGCAGGACAGGATCCAGCGCAAGGACTGGACGTCCACACGGTTCATTACTATTCGTAGTAGTGTTACTATTGTTATTTTCTTTCTTGTTACTGTTATCAGTGTGATTCTTCGCAGTAGAAACGGCACTGTCACATCCTTTATTATTGTCATTTTCATTCTTATCATAATGCATCACTCTGACTATTCTCACTTCCGTTATTGTGACTGTTATCCTCATCATCAGCGACATCATTCATATTATATCATCATTTATCACTTATCGCCGTAGTCCTTCCAATGCCAGGAGGTCCACACGGTTCAGGGCTTAGGTTTCATGTTTTTTTTGGTGTAGGGGTTGGGGGCTTGAGGGTTTAGGGTTGGAGGAAGAGCAGCAGCTTGAGAAGGGAGAGGGAGGATCTTTGGAAGAAGTGCGTCTGCCTGTTGTTTGGATACGGAGATAGGTGGTGCCGAGTGGACAAGCTGTGCTTTGACAAATTATACTCTTCAATCAAACTGCCACATAGATCCTTTGACTTTTTTTATACCTGCTAGAGGTACTTTCGTCTAAACTCCTCTTAGGGGGTTATATAGGGGATTACAAAGGGGACTATATTAGGGGTTATTAAGGGGGATACTACGAGTTTAGACAATGAGTCATATGGAGAAGCCTTGAGGAAGCTTCTCATGGGGAAATATTACAGGGCTATGAAGATTATGTAACGGCTGCTGACAAACATTCTGACCGCCAAAGCGCTTCACAAAGACCCCCCGTTATTACTATTACTATAAGTTGTTCCCATACTTTTATAAACCCTGAACACTATTACTACTATTGCTATGCCAGGACTTGGTTCGACTCGGCTTGCTGGGTTGCGGTGGCTTTGCATCTGTCGAGCTGTGGGAGCACAGGCATTCCGCAAGTTGAAGTTCAAGGGTTTAGGCTTTAGGTCAGTTTAGGGGTAATAGCGATGATATTCGTAATACTAGAAATCATAGTAGTGATAGTCATGTATTAGTGATACTCGTAAAAAAGTATAGTGAATGAAGCAGACATAGATAATAATGATGGGCTGGTCTGCTTCAGGTCCGCAAAGGTTTGTTTAGGGAGGATCTGCTGCAGACTAGCACTGCAAGTGACGGCCCCTGCAGACTTGACCCTAAACCCTTAACCTTAAACCCTTTTCAGGGACACGAAAGAGACCTATGCCATGAAGTGCATCTCCAAAGGCTACATCGTCAAAATGGGTCCTCGCCTCAGTGGTATCGTCTCAGAATCTGAGCAGGAGCTTTCAAGTCCCGCATCAGTTCTGGTAGACCTCATGGTGCAGGAATGCAGCAGAGCATCCTGAACGAGAAGAACATTCTGATGATGACGAACTCGTTCTTCATCATCAAGCTGTTCGCGCATCGGCTGTTTCTAGCGTGTAGAAAGAAGCGTTCCGCAATGTTGTTGGGTGGAGTGGATGCAGGGCGCTATGCACAGCGCGCCTAAACCAGGAGTAAACCCACAGCCCCGACTTCTGTCCCAGGAATGCTTCAACGGAAGCCAGACCCTGTACTTCCTCCTTGAAGCTGCCACTCGGGCGTTTTTGGTACGTTTCATTCTGTCATTACAGTTGGCCTGCCCTTTCTATTGAGGTACCCCAGTAGTACCCGTATTTCCCTTTCTATTTTGGGTCTCCTTATTGTGGGAAAAAAACAGTGCTCTTCTTATTAATGGGGTTACCGGGGATCCTAGCTATGTAGCTGTGCAGCTGTCTTGTGCTTGTTCAACAACCCCACAGGCACTTCAACTCTGCAAACTTGGACCTGAGCCCAAACCCTAAAACCTAAACCTGAGCTCTAAACCCTCCACCCCAGAAACCTTAGGAGCATCCCTGAATCAAAGCAAGCTCGACACGATCAGCAGCTGAGGCCTTGGGGGGCGAGCTCTATGCAACCTACAACCGAAAAGGCCTGCATGGGCCACAGCCCAAGCTTGGTTAGCCCTGGCCTAGGTCCGTTTGAAGGGGGCTCTAGCGACAGATAGGATTATGCATATATGGTTTTGGGTTTAGTGAAAGCCCTAGGCTTCAAAGTTCGTAGTCCAGCGTGCCAGTGAGCGAAATCTCAGAATTGAGCAGCGGGCCTTTTGTTGTTGAAGTTGGGTGTATCCGGCCCGTTAAAGGAGGCTAAGCTGTGGCCCCGAACCCCTACAAGAGCTAGAACAAATTACTATCCCACATACCTTTGGGTTTCATGTAGGGGTTACTGGAGGTTCAGGGTGAGTATAACACATCCTAGTTGTACTTGTTTAACCGAATTGCGCCCCTAAGTCCCGTAACATTTTCATACCTGGGTTATAGGTAACATGTTTGGTGTTTAGGCTGCGGGCCTTTCGGATAAGGGTAGCTCTGGTTTTCTTGAACAATTGCCACCAAAAATGACTGAACAGATTCCAGAAAGACTGCCGGATGTACCTCATGTAGGAAGGGCGAAGAAGCCATGACAGTACAGGTTTAAGTCATTGCAGTAGGGGCTGTGCCAAAAAGGCATCTAGTGGATGTTGTCATCTTTGTTGGAAAGCAATCTCAAAGTTGTGAATTTTTCTTTGCGTCCCCACATCTCCACATTTCCCTGCAAGCTAGCATCACGGGCGACCTTCTGACAGCACCGGAAGAAGTTCTTGGCATGTGGCAAGGTATAACACCTATATAATACCCATATATCCCATATATTCTCTATATAATCCTGGATGGCTTGTGACACATCAGAATGCCCCTCATCCACCTAGGGCATGACCAGCCATGGAAACTCCAGAACGAGCACTTTCAGGAAAGGTAGTAGCGAACAAGGAACCCCGTAATGGCTTTGGTAGAAAGGACGGTACTTTGGAGGTTGACAGGTATTGATAAGTGAGGCTATACGAAAGATAGCTATGTTCTTATTTTCACTATTACCATGTCTATTGCTCCTACCTAACAGGGGTTACCCTTACCCAGCAGGTGACCTTGCACACGGCCAGCCCAGGGAAAATTCAGGTCACGGAGGCACGCGTGACAGGGATCTTTTGCTGGAAGAGCTATTATTCAACCCTAAACCCTAAGCCCTAAACCGTAAACCCCTAAATGCTACTAGGGTTTTAGGGCCCAAATACCAGTATTTGGGTCCTGGGACCCTTAGGGCTCTCACCAAGCGTGAGATCCCCAACAAAATACCGAATCCGAGCTCATCAACCGTGGTTTTCTCTGAGCCTTAGCCTTAACTTCATAAAGGGGTCCATTCAAAGGGGTTATAGGGATTAGTATACGGGGTAATGTAGGGTTTGGGGTTTCGGCATAGCCTGGGTTCTTGTAGATGAGCCACCCTTTTCTTACCCAACTCTGATTAGACATTGATGATTGCGGATTGTCCCGCAAACATTTTGCCTAAACCCTAAACCCCTAAACCCTAAACCCCTAAACCCTAAATGGGAGGCACCATGAGCTGCCGCCTCCCTTGGGTTCCCCAGTAATCTGGTAGTTTCCATAAATAGGGTTGGACCCCAACCCTAAGGGTCCAAGGACCCAAATAATAGGGTATTAGGGCCCAAATACTATAATACCAATGGTATTTGGGCCCTAAAACCCCATTATTTGGGTCCTTGGACCCTTAGACCAATATAGACACCTAAATACAGTAAGCCTCATTATGTGGACGCCCAAAAAGGTACCCCTAATTGATTTTTCTTAAACCCTCATCTCCTTGTTTGTTTTTGACCTTTGTTTCAGGCTAGGCTTACTATGAAACTGGTCCGCCAGAGAAGGATGCCTTTTCCATGCCTAGATTACTGGTAACTGTCCGAAACAAACCCTAAAACCAAGTCCTAAACCCTATGTACAACGCCAGCCATCCTAAGGAGCGAGAAGCACGCGAAGTTCTTCATTGCAGGCCATTATGGGGCAACATTGGGATCAAGCATGTACGGGCTGGAAAATGATGAGTAGTATTACTACAACCCTTATGACTTCTTCTTCTACTACTATTTCTACTGCTGCT